CAAAAATTTCTACCAAAAGACTTCTAGACTTAATTGACAGATTCAGTAGAGTAGCTGGATATAAGGTCAACACTCAAAAAACAATAGCCTTCTTAACCACAAATAGTAGACTCACTCTGAGAGAAATTAGAGAAACAATTCATTTTATAATCACATTCAAAAAAATGAAATATCTAGGAATAAATCTAACAAAGGAAGCAAAAGACCTCTACATTGGAAACTACAGCACCCTGAACAAGGAGATCGAAGAGGATATAAGAAAATGGAAAGATATCCCTTGTTCCTGGGTAGGAAGGACCAATATAGTGAAAATGGCCAAACTTTCAAAACTGCTATTTAGATTTAATGCAATGCCGATTGAAATTCCAACAATATACTTCACAGAACTAGAGAAAACAATTCAAAAATTCATTTGGAACCAGAAGAGACCTAACATAGCAAAAGCAATTCTGAGCAACAGAGACATGGCTGAGGGTATCACAATCTCCAACTTGAAGCTATACTACAAAGCTACTGTGATAAAAATAGTATGGTACTGGCAAAGAAACAGACCCGAGGATCAGTGGGATAGATTAGAAGACACAGAAGCAACTTCAGACATACTCAGCCACCTCAGAAATATTGACAGGCAAATGGGATAAAGGAAATACAAATCCACTTACCAAAATAGTTTAATCGGCATATTTAAGGCATATTAATTCTCAAAGAGGAAACAACATTTTGAAATATATTAGGCAATTCTGAAATATAGCAATCTGCAGACAAAAGTTATCCTACATATCATTTACTAAAAGTTATTGAGATGGACACATGGAACAGAAGATAAAAGCACATAATATATTCAAGTTTATGCAAAAATATAAGGACTAATTTCAGAATTTACAAAACAAGTAATTTCCAGAATAAAATTCAAAGTAAAAAGGTGGTTGTTACAGGTTTTGGTAATATTAAGACTATGATAGAAAAAAGTGAGAGGCAGTTGCTTATTGAACTAAACCACATATTTTAATCCAATAACTAACTCAAAAATATTAAAGAATTTCCCAAGAGACTCTATATATTTTTAGGAAGAACATTTTTTTTTAATCTAATAAGATTTCTTCTTTCCAGAGTGTGTTTTATCTCTGAACTCATACAAAGAATTTCTTTCTGGTCTTAACAAAATAATGTAGCATTCTGGACCAAAGATGCCGCCCAGCAGCCCTGCACTGGAGGCCAAGATGGAGAAGATCTCCATGGCCACCTTGGTGCTGTGGTACACAGGGAGGAACGTGACCCACACACTGCAGAACACCAGCATGATGAAGGTCAGGAACTTGGCTTCATTGAAGGTGTCAGGCAGGTTCCTGGCCAGGAAAGCCTCAGTGAAGCTCACCAGAGCCAGGGAGCCCAGGGAGCCCAGTACACAGTAGAAGGCAGTGAGTGAGCCCTTGTTGCACACGATGAGGATGTGGCCATGTTCAGAGTGTGCATCTGTTTCAATGTAGGGTGGATTTGTTCCCATCCAGACTCCACAGAGAGTGAGTTGGATGAGGGAGCAGATGGGGATGATGTAGTTAGGTGCCCTTGGTACCAGCAACTGCCTCATCCTTCTGCCTGGAGCAGTGACCTTAAAGGCCAGCACCACAGTGATAGTTTTGGCCAAGATGGTGGAAATAGCCACAGTGAACACAACTCCAAATGTGGTCTGTTGGAGGATGCAGGTGGCTGTGTTGGGCCGGCCAATGAAGAGTAAGGAGCAGAGAAAACAGAAGATGAGGGAGATGAGCAAGGTGTAACTGAGAGCCCGGTTATTGGCCTTGACAATGGGAGTGTCTTGATGCTTCACAAAGAGCCCAAGAGCAGCAGCTGTGAGGATGGTGAGACTCAGGGCAGTGCCAGCCAGTATCTTCCCCATGGGGTCTCCATGACCCAGAAAAGTCTCAGACTTTTGGAGGCAGTGGTTTTGCTGAGGATTGGCATACTGATCATCAGGACACTTAACACACTGCTCCATACCTATGGAGAATGTGAAATTGTCATTGGTTGAAGTTCCTTATTTGTCTTCCATTTACTCACTTATTCACAGAAAATGGGTAAGGGAACAATGGAGGGGGTGGAGGAAAGGATGGAAGGGACAGGAAAAAAATGAAAACACAGATTTGGCAAATAAGGAGAAAAAAGAGGTAGAAGGGAGGGTAGGATAATGGTAAAAATAAAGATGAAGATGTATCATGTAGCAGTACAAGTTGCTTATGATGAACGTGATCATTATGTATACCTAAAATGTACCAGTAAATTTAATTTATACAACAAACTTATATGACTCCTTGAGCCAAATTATCCTTTTTTGTTTCTGTCTCTTCTTTGTTTTTCATTTAATGGTTTTCTTCCATATTGTAGGCCTGATTATTTAATTCAGAATTTTGTACTGACCTTCATCCCCAACCCTTTTAAAAATTAAAAAAATTTTGAAACACAGCCTTACTGAGTTCCCACATTATTAAGTTGCAACTCAAATTTGTGATCCTTTTGCCTCAGCCTCCCAGACTGCGGGGCTTTCAGGTCTGCATGAGCAAGCCCAGCTTTCCATTTGAATTTTCCAAACACCAAGCAAAATGATTTTTATATTTACAGTATGTCCCAATTCACACTGCCCTGTTCTGTATAGTTGTATATTTTCACAAAGCAATAAAAATATCTGTCTACCTATGGCAAAACTCTTCAAGTCATGCTTTATAGATTCATTCAATGAACAACCACTTGATAAACGGAAATAATTTACTAAATTCTAGGGATCCACTTGATAAACCCAAATAATTTAGTAAGTTCTAGGTATATGATGAATATTACATACTGTCCATTAGGATATGCTCTCCCACCCCACCCCATGAAAGGTTGTATTGGAACTTGTATGGCAATTCGATTGAATCTGTAGAACCAACTGTAAAATACTAACATCTTCCCATTGGTGACCATTTCCATCCATGAACATGCTCATTTCAATTACTTCAATTTTATTGTTAGAAATTTTTTGTATACTTAAATGTGGTATTTTTTGGAATGAATTAGTCAGCATTCTATTGAGATACCTGCCTATGTCCATTGTGCACTGGCACATTGTTTCACTTTTGAATCTTCATAGAATTTATTTTATGATATTTTACTGGTCCCTATTAATTTTACATGACATTGGGCTTCAATGTGGTATTTTTCTACATGCACATAATATATTTTGCTCCTGCCTTATCCTCCCTTACACCCCCTCCCACTTATTCCCTTCCCCTTCTCCAATAATAGTCTCCCTTCCACTTTTATGTCCCCTATTTTGATTCCACATATTGCAGAGAAAATGCAGTAATTCTCTTCATGAGTCTGGCTTATTTCACTCTACATGAGGATCTCTAGTTTCTTTCTTTTTCTGAAAATGTCATAATTGCATTTTTCCTTATGACTGAACACTTCACTGTGTTTATATACTGCATTTCTTTACCTATTAACCTGCTAATGGCAACCTTGGCTGAATATTGGCTACTATGCATTGTGTACAATGAATGTAGTCGGCATGTATCTCAATAGAATGCTGAATAATTCCTTCATATATATATATATATACACACACACACACACACACATACATACTATGGATGGTATGACTGGGTATATATAGATATGGAATTTTTAATTTTAACATTTAATTCACATAAAAATTTTGGGAAAATATTAAACTAAGGATTCATTTTGGTTAGAACACAGAATTTTGTCAATATATTTTATTTACTCTTAGAACTGTTTTCTAACATTTCCTGTAGTTTGTGAATTTCAAGTAAACTCTCAAACAGATTAATGTGGAATAGTTAACTATATTTTCGTAAGGAAAATCCCACCCATCTGAAAAATGACACAATTTTCAGTTAGGGTATTATTGTTTTGTGAAATTTGTCTTTCATATTTTCATCAAATGTATAGATTGTTGTTAATTTTTTTTTACCAGAATTAACTTGATTCTTTATTTCTTTACATGTGTTTTAATTTCTTAAGCATTCCTGTTATTTCAATTACTATCTTGCATTTTTGGTTCAATTTGCTCTTATTTATCTAGTTTGAAAAAAATATTTCAAATTCAGAACTACAGCCTTTCAATAAATATTCATAGTAGCACATAAGTATATATACTGTAAAATATGCATTTGTCATTAAGAATGATTTTTGCTTCAACTCACAAAATTTGATAATTCACATATTCAAGTACAGATGCTTGTTATTTTTCATTTCACACTATTGTATAAGAAACCAATTGTTGGGAATTGTTATTAATAAACAAGAAGTGTAAACAAATTAATATTGATGGACTTAAGGTTCTTTATATGTCCTCATTAAAATTACATAAAAGTACCATGTCCTCAAACTCTATAAAGAATACATACCCAAATTAACTATAAGGTACATCAACTGTCAAGTATATTTCAAAGAAAATTAGAAATTATACTAAGTAGGTTGCAAAGGAAAGAAGGGAAAGGAAAATTATGAGAAAAGAAAAAAAATGGAAACAAAGTCTTTGTAAATAGGGAAGGGTGGAGGGGGTGAAGAGAGGACAGGAAATGGGAAAAAATAAGAACCAAGATATATCATGTAAAGGTACAAGTACCCAATGATAAATGTAAACGTATTGTATACCTAAAATGTACCAATAAAAGAATCTAAGGAAAAAAATCAAAACACATGTCAGCTCCAAAATCAAATTAGAAAATATTCAGTAGAAAGGTGATTTTACCAGGTCATGATTTATCATCAATTCAAGTGTTTCCAAAGTCATACTCATGCTATGCAAAATTCAATATTGGAATTCTGTAACTTTTCTATGGAGTGTCTCAGTCCTCACCCTCATATTATCTGTGTTTTAAGGATATAGAGTTTCATTTTCAGCCTTTTGGATAATACATAATAGGGAATTTGTCATTTTGGCAATATCTACTAATCCTAAACAAGAATTTATGTCACCTCATTTCTTTTTGCTACAACACTGAATGAGTCAATTACTCATTTCTAAGACAAAAGATTCAACATGGAAAATTTTTCCCACAGGAGGAGAGAGAGAGAGAGAGAGAGCCTGGAAGCTGGATGTGCTCTGCTAGTTGTGCTCACTGAGAGCCACCTTTCAGACCAGGCCCCCTCCTATCATCATGTTCAGCTATTGATTCATCCCTGGATTATCTCACTGATGAGAATAGCATTCATATAATCCAAAGAGATTCTGTACATAGGAAAATTTTGGGGCGCATTTTGTGAAAAAAACAAGAATATACTAATGCTACTCCCTCTGTGAAAATATCTCTGACATTCTCCCAAAAATATAAATGCCATCACTCATTAAATCCCTTAGACTGAATGCTTATTGTCCTACACCTCTGTAGTACAAACTATGAGTCATGATGATTGTTATTTTCCCTACTGATGGGCGACTTCTAGGACAACAGGGATGACATCCTAGGAACTGATGTCATACTGTACTCAATGCATATTGTACACCAAAGACACATCTCTGTCTCAAGGCAGACACAATTTCTCTGAGCACCTGCTCTCTATAAAATCTGTGCTAGGTCCTGATAAATAGGGATATTCTGGAGCTTCATCTCCAGTGTAATTAAAATGAGGTTTCAAATCATGTGAATAACTTGTTTAATAATGCTCTGTGCTAAGCTTTATGGTAAAGATGGAATTCAGAGACCGTGGGGTGGGAGAAGGGAGTCCTCATGAGTGCTTTCAGTAGATCTAGAAAAACATATTGTAATAGTTGGGGTGAGTTTTGTGTACCTGTGATCAAGGCTAATCTGTATGCTGGACATGCTGGTGAAAATTAGCAACATTTTTCTCAAAATAATAAAATGAAAAGACATGGAGATACAGCTCAGGGTGAGGGCACCTCTGAGTTCTATCCTCATCAATGTCAAAAAGAAAAGAAAACATAAAAAAGGGGAAAAATGAATCTATGAGTACATACAGTGCGAGGGACAGAGAATGTGTCTTTAAAGGGATAAAAGTACTGAGATGAATGAATAAATATCCACCTGACAGAAGAAAGAATTTTGTAATCTCTGTGCTCTGCAATATTTTTTTTTCCATTTCTTTTATGGGTGGAGTAAATGCAAAAGGAACATGGAGAATTTGTCCCTAAGACCAGCTCTTACCAGTGTCGTTGGCAATCTCATTCTCTGGGCAAGGGGTGCAATCAAAACAACAGGCAGGTTTTCCCTCCTGAGGGGATTTCCTGAATCCAGAACTGCAGCTCTTACTGCATACAGAGCGCGGAGCCTGGGAAAAAACATGTTGCTGAGTTTTTAGAATTTTACCATTCATTCAGAGCTTGACAGAAAATCAATTTGTATGTATAAATAGATAATATTACATATATATGTGTAAATGTCATATTTAACAATATAAATTTATAAATATCTACAAAATATAAACAAATATATTCCATGCCAATTCATGGTATGGATAAAATACCATGATAAAATTGAAAATTGAGATTTTTAATTGGTATAGTTTCCCATTTAATAAGCAAAATTTGGGCAGAAAGTCTACAAACACTTTTTTGGTTATTTGTTGGTAATGAAGTGCATTATGATTATGTCCAACATACCTCTGTAATTCCCATGGCCCACTCGATCATTTCATCCGATAAAGACAATTGTTGGGCATGAGGAACATGTGGGGTAAATGTTCCCAATTTGATCTTAAGTCTAAGGCCTTCTGGAAAATTCCAAAAGTTGAGAATGTCATACTCTACATCCAGTTTCCTTTTGTCATCCAGAGTGACTTGGTCTCCAGCAGGATTGTTAAAGTGGATGTTTTTCAAAAAGGATTGGAGCTAAAAAAAGACACATCATCCTCTGGTGAACAGGGCTTCATGTGTGAAACAAAAATAAATTAGGGAATGCTCCTAATTATCTTTAATTTTAATTTCATAATGCAAAATTTACAGTGACATTTAATAAAGTAATAAAGCAAAATGAATAAAATCTTAGAGTAACACAATATACTTTTTCTAAAAAGTCAATCTCAAGGGTAAAATTTATATTCACACTTATTTAAATAAATTTTTCATGAGTGAAGAAAAAATTAGTATTGGATATTTTAATTATTTTGTCTCTTGATGTTTCTGGAGCATGTACTTGCAAAATGAAGTTGTCATTAGCAAGAGATTGTATCATGAAATGAGAAATTTAAGATAATTTATCTAATATAGGGTTTAGCATAATTTAAATAAAAGAATTATGAATTGTTTGTTGTACTTTAAGAAGTTCATGGAAAATACTGAGATTTTGTAATATATTATCTAGGTGGGCACTGAGATCCTTTAGACAAAAGCAATGATCTTGTCCCCTATGGATATTTTCCATGTCAGGGCCTTCTTACTAAGTGACCATTTGTATACAGCTCAGGATTTGCCTCCTTAAAAATGAGCAGGTGTGGGGCCGTAGATATAGCTCAGCAGCACAGCATCTGCCTGGCAAGTGTGAGGACCTGAGTTTGATTCTCGGTAACAAAAATAATAATAAAAATAATGAGCTGGTGTACTTCTGGATAAACTGTTCTAAACTTCTTTGATGAACCACATGTGTAATAACGGATCACATTGCATGCCATTACAAGAAAGATGATTTACCTGCCAGGGAGCAAACACCATCACTTTGTTTCCCATTGGTGGCCACTGTGCTTGTTGAAGAAGCATCTCATGGAGGGCATGGGCCACAGCATACACAGCATTGTAGATATTGTGACTCTGGTCGGTCATGGCTGTGTCAAAACGATTCACAGGCAGCCATGCCAGAGAGGCATTAGGTGTACAGTCCTTCAGTGAACAGTCAGAGTTAGAGAATGAGCAGTAGAAATTATTGAACCAAAACATAGTGAGGTAAAAGTCTTCTGGGTATTTGGAAGGCTTGGCTTCTTGGACAAAAGTTTTGAAACCAGAAATGTTTTCAGGGTGGTTTGAAAAAATGAGACTCCCATGGAATGAATTGAGAATGAAATTTTTCCCAGTCATGTCCGCATGCCATTGTGAGTTTGTGACCCAGACTTTGCCTGTTAATAAATATTGCTCTATAATATAGTTTACATCATTTAGAATATCAGTGTCATAGTAAATGATGACCACATTGACTTGTGATGTTTCCTTGGTCAGGATAATGTGTTCATTTGCACTTGCTATGTATGACACAAGAGGAGTTGAGACCATTTTCACAAAGGCTACACACACTCTGTTCCTGTCCATCTCTCCTGTCACATCTGAGAGAAATTGAAGACCTTTCTGACCTTCCGTAATGACCAGTCCCACCCAGGTCCAGCTGAAATGAACCATCAAGGACACCATACCAAGGGCCAGAGATATGTCCTTGGGGGCTATCTGATAGACAGAAGGAAATTGTCCACTGTCTTTTAGCATAGGATCAAAAGAGCCAAATGTAACCTAAAAGGAAAGAAAATTGGAAGGAATATAAGGACGAGTGTTGACACTAAATAGAAGCTCATACCTGGAGAATACTAAGTAACAGCTGGAAGGGGTAGAAAGAGATACCTATTTATCAAGTCTTTCTAATTATCTAACTTTGCAAAAGCTTTGCAGAAACTAACAGATCAGACATGAATTTTTAAGAAAAATTTTTGTTTTCTTCTCTCCCTGTTTTTTGTTCTAGAGGAGGAAATTGTAAGTAGGCTGAAATGACACACTTGTAAAGATGCATTTTCACCAGGATCCTTCTTTCACCCTGTTTAAGCACTCAGTAATGTCACCAATAAAAACATAGTTTCATTTTTCCCCATCTCACTCACCTGTGGAAACTTGTAGAGCTCCAGCAGGGTTCCAATTTGAGCAGAAGTTGCCCATAATGTTCCTGTTAGCACTGCTATGGACTTGCTCTCTTTTCTACAGGAGTAATTAGGGATCTCACTCTGTCCTGTGAGCAAAGTGAGAGAACTCTCCAGCATCCTCCAGTGACTGTAAAGAAAATTATGGTACTCGAATCCCAGAGATATATTGGGTAAAAAATGAGGATGCCTATTGATCTCTTCTATGGCAAATATGAAAGCTAGAACATTCTGGTAGCTGTTGGGGATATTCCTGCATAGAAAGCATACAGCTCAGCATGGTAAAGACTTAATCTATGGTTATATTTTAATCCAGTTCAATAGTATTTATTGATAATAAATGAAATTGAGTTACTGAAACATTTTCCTCATCAAAGTTATGCATTTATTTATTTATTTATTTATTTATGAATGTTCTTGTTCTCCCCCATATTCATGTTATATAAACCAAGGCATAACCAAAGCGTATTAGTGGTTTTGTTTTGCAAATACAATTAGGATTAGATAAGAATTTGAGGTGAATTTCTAAAGACTAAAATCAGTGCCTCACAATTGCATCATTGTCCTGCTATTTGAGTGCATGTTGCCCAGGGTATCACCGATAAACTGGAAGACACATGCTTTTTCATTTTCTGAGCCACAACTGATAAATATTGAGAATAATTGTTTTAAACATTCAGTTGGTGGTATGTTTTTATACAGCAGGCAGAATTCATGCAATATCCTAGCTAAGATTAAACAACAAGGAAATTAATTGTATCTTTGGAATAACTACTCCCCATGAAGCCTTAAATTTTATAATTAAACAACACACAAGTAAACTCTTCATATGATAACAATTATACTGATGAAAGTGGAAACATTAACAAAGAGAGAAAATAATGTTAAATTAAACATCTGTGACACATCAAGAACAACATCTGTGGATGATTATGATGCAGAAAAAAGCTGAAATTGAGTTGCCTAAACATCTGCCACATCAAAATTATACATTGCAATTCTGAGAAACAAGATCAAGGCAGGGGGCATCACAATCCCAGACATAAGTTATACTACAGAGATACAGTGATAAAAATAGCATGGTACTGGAAAAAACAGACTTATAGATCAAGGAATGAGATAGAAGATGCAGAAACAACTCCAGGCATACTCAACTATATTATCTTTGACCAGGAGTAAATCCCTTCTCTGCATGAAAGACAGCCTCTTTTATAAATGGTTCTGGGAAACCTGACTATATACAAATATCTCTCACCATGTACTACAGTGTAATGAAACGGATCAATGATCTCAACATTAGAAGAGAAACAGTCTCCTGGAAGACAAAAATAGGTAAAACACCTGAAGACATAGATGTGGTCAAAGTTTTTCTGAGCAAAGCCCCAGTTGCACGAGAAATATTACCTATAAGCAACCAATGGATCCCATAAAATTTAAAAGGCCTGCACAGCAAAATAAACCAGCAACAGAGTGACCAGACAACCTAGAGAATAGGAAATTTTTTTGCCAGCTACTCCTCAATACACTAATATAGAGAATACATAAAGAACTTCAAAAATAAACACCCCAATTTAAAAGACCTAATCACAAATGGTAATTGAAATGATTAGACACTTCTCAGATGAAAAATATAAGCAGCCAATAAATACATGAAAAAATGTTGAATATCACTGGTTGCTGGAGAAATGCAAATTGAAACTACACTGAAATTCCATCATGACCTAGAAAAAAATGGCTACCATCAAGAAAGCAAATAATAACACACTCTGGCAAGCCTGTCTGGAAAAAGGAACCATACTTCATTGTTGGTGGGAGTGTAAACTGGTATAACCACTATGGAAATAAGTATGGAGATTCCTCAAAAAACTAAAAATAGAAATTCCATTTGACTGAGCTACTCCCCTTCTTGGTTTCTTCCCAAAAGAGGTGAAGACATCTTATACCCATGTTTTAGTTACATAATTCATAATTACTAAATCTTGGAAACATTATATATGTCCATCAACATATGAATGGATAAAGGAAATGTATTCAAACACAATGGAGTAATCCTCTGCTATAAAGAAAGATAAATGAGTCATTTGTAGGTGCAACTTGAGACCATGATATTAAGTGAAGTCATTTGGACACATGAGCTTAAATATCACATGGTTTCTCTTATGTAAAATATGTATTATATAAATAAAGTGTGAAACAAAAGGCAGATGAGAGAGAGAGAGAGAGAGAGAGAGAGAGAGAGATGGGGGTAAAACTTTGCAATCCAGCATGGACAATATATCTAAAAATATATGTTGTCCTTCCCTTTTTTCCTTTCCCTTACCCCTCCCACTTCCCTTTTGCCTTCAGAACTTTTCTTCCTATTTCACATTGTCTATTTTGCATTTTTATCCTTGCTTACACTTTCAGTTTCTCATACCATTTGATTTAGTATAATTGTCTTATGTATTTCACTTTTTTGTCATATTAGTCTGGTTGTGAATTGGTATATATGTGAATTGGTAATATATATATTAATTAACTGTATTTTTTATTGGTGCATTTTAGCTATACAATGCTGTTACAGTCATCATTAGGAACCTTTACATAATGTATTGGTTCTTATTTTTTCCCCATTCCTCTGCCCTTCTTGCAACCCCTCCATCCCTCCCTATTTTCAAGGACTATGTTTCCATTTTTTCCTTTTCTCATATTTTTTCCTTTCCCTTCTTTCCTTTCCCCTTCTCCTCCCACTTCCCCTACCCCTTTAGACCTTTTCTTTCTATTTCAGGTTATCAATTATACATTTTGATCCTTATTTACACTTTTAGTTTCTCACACCAGAGAAATTATTCAGTATTTACATGTGTGTCCTATTTATTTCACTTAAGAGTATGGCCTTAATTGTACATATGATAATTAGCTTTATATGGACTTAGAAGATAAATGAGCAAATCTGATGTTGGTGAAATAAAAAAGGGTTGGGGGAATGGGGAAGAAGAAGGAACTGAGATGTGTCATGTGCATGTACCAATTCCCCACAGTGAATGCAATCACTATAGACAGCGAACATGTATTAATAACATTAAAAATAAAAGAAATAAAACCTTTTAAATTTTGACTTAAAATATAAAATTTAAAAAATTACCCGTGACTGAAGTTCAAAAATGAAAGTGAAATTATACAGTATTTAAACAGAAGGTCCAATACATATTGAGTGTTTATGGATTTACAGATGAGTTACTTCTAAAATGTTGGAATAGAAATTGGATATGGTGGTACATGCCTGTAATCCTAGCTTGGGATCGAGGACTGAAGCAGGATGATTGCAAGTTCATGACCAGTGGGAACAGCTTAATATTCAGCAAATGTGTGTCTCAAAATGAAAAAAATAATTAAAACAAGCTAGTGATCTACCTCAGCATGAAGGCCTAGGTTTCAATCCCCACCACTGAAAAAAGTGTACTCTTATAGTAATTCTTTCAATAGAAAATGAATATATGAAACACAATTAAAGCATGTTTATAATGAAATTCAAATTAGCTTCTATAAATACTCAAAAATTTTTGAGCAAAGAATTATCCTAAATAAGTCATTACAAAAATGAGTAGATTTTTAAAAATATCCTCACATTTCTTTTTTTTTTTGGTATCGGGGATCGAACTCAGGACCTTGTGCTTGCAAGGCAGGCAGCAGAACCACTGAGCTAAGTCCCTGGCCCAATCCTCACATTTCTGCAAGGAGTAAAACAACGTACTTATTCAAATACAGAGAACAATCGATACCATCAGGCAACTGAGAGATATTTAATATTAGTATTAGTATTTGAATGTAAAACAAAATCGCTGTTCACATTCATCCAAGTGGATCAGGACAAGAAGTGTTGAATATTTTAACCTCCTGATTTGATAATTGGACAATGTAAATATATATCCACACAAAGCATTGCATCCCAGAAAAACATACAATTAGTATTTTATAACTAAAGAAGAAATTAAAGATAAAACAAAACAGAAAATCTTTTAATTCAAAACTTAGGCCTCACTTAAAGAAAATATCAATGAGTCACATTGAGAGTAATTGGGAGGCAGGTGTAAAAGTTCCACCTCCTTTCAGGGAAGCACTACACAGAAAAGTACTGTAACCTCTTCCTGTAGATCTTGTGTTAAGAAATTAGTATAAGCCTTCTGGTTGATGAGGTGTGATCTTCTTTGTGTATTGTGTGGGTGAAGCTTTTTTTTGCATTTTATTCATGTGTATATTATTATATTGATTTTTTCTGGCTACTGAAAAATGAGACAGGGGCCGGGGTTTAGCTCAGTGGCTCCAGTGCCTGCAAGCACAACGTCCCGAGTTTGATCCCCCAGTACCGAAAAAAAAAAAAAGAAAAAGAGAGAGAGACAGATTAAGAGCTACACAGGTGGGCCCAAGGGAACTCAAAGCACAAGCTTCCAGTTATGTTCTCCAGTGGAGTCATGGATAAGGCTAACTTCTCCCATCAGCAATGTGTGCTGTTATGCCTGGAGCACTGTCCTCCTGGAAAGCTTCCTCAAACTCCTTGTCCAGAGGGTTTTGTTGTGATGGCAGTGGTTGTGGTGGTAGTTGTGGCCTTTTGTGAGAGATTCGGTCATGTAGACCTTTGGACTAAACATCTGGCTGCCTTGAGTCTCTCCTGAGCTGACAATGAAATATTAAACCCTTAGCTTTTTGATGTTTTTTTCTTTTTTCTTGTTAGTATATTTTTTTGGATAAATATTCTGAAGAAGTTGAGTATCAAGAGCATTTTGAATAAAATAGGACCAGGGTAGTAATTCTGTGTTATTATCAGAATTAGCATCATTTTGGAGTTTCTAAGCCATAAAATAAATATTCAGTAAAATACCCGGAAGAAAAAGAATTGAATGGAGAAGCACACATATTTAAGATACGTATTTAATACATATTTAATGAGGAGTAAAATTGTTCACTTACAAATCCATGAAAATATCCAATAAACCAAGACCCCCACCAAAAAGTGTGTGAGCCCACCAAAATATAAATCTGTAAGACTTGTCAAAATTTCAAATATAATTGGAAATTTAAATGATTTTGTTGAAAATATATATAGCAAAACAACGGTTAACAATTTTTTATCATACTCTTGTGAAATAGGAAGAAAATGTTCAAATGAGAAAAGGAACTTGCGAGGGGGGAGGGGAAAAGGAAGGAAGGGAAAAGAAAACACAAGGAAAAAATAGAAACACATTTTTGTAAATAAGGAGGGGAAGATGAATTGAAGGGAGTGGAGGGAAATGGTAAGAAAAGAAAAATAAAGATATATCATTTACAGGTACAAATATCCCGTGATAAATGTGATCATTATGTATATCTAAAATGTACCAATAAAATTAATAAAAAATTTTATGATGCAACATTTAACAAAAACATAATGTTCTAATAAAGATCAAAGCATCAAAGAGAGTAATTCACACCAGTTAACACCCAAAATTTCTGTGGAAGATGGCATTATAATTAAAAATAGAAAGAAGAGAGTTTTTTTATGGCAAAAGCAAATGTTTAAAAGTAGTATCCCTGGCCGTAATTCAGAACAATAATGAAATGATAATTTAGAAAAAATCAACAACATTTAATATAATGATTTAAACAAATAGGATACAGAAAAATGAAGATGCAATAATCAACAAAATAGGCAAAAAGAGAAATGAGCTATGTATAATTTGTGTTAATTTGTATATGTATATACATATATACAGTTTATATAAAAGTTCATATTATAAATCACTGATAAATATCAATTATAATTTTTATCTATATGGAAAGAATTATGACAAATATAACTTTATTGCAAAATAAATTGAAGGGTCACTAAATAATTTTTGAATTAATATAGACTTATTTATACAATTATACATTGGAATGTATGGTAAATAGGAATAAAACAGGCATAAGTAAATTTTTTGCTACCTTAAATTTCGTGTTTATTTCAGCTTAAAAGTGATATATGTAAAATATTCACAGTGAGTCCTATTAATCATTTTAAAAATATAGTACATGGTTCCCCAACTTATCCTTTACCTAATATGAAAAATAATTTTGAACTCATGGAAAGGCTTATAGCAAGATATATAAATGAGCAAGAACAAGTTATCAAATAAAATATTCTTAAGGTAGTACATGAAATGTAATTGACCCAACTATTAAAAATAATGCAAATATAGCAATGTCACATTATTTACTAACTTCAGTTTAGGGCACTTTATTGAGGTAAAGATTAAGGAAATAATGTTCCCCTGCATGACTAGCTAAAGTGTCCATTATTATGTTTCAAGACGGTTGCTTGATATTAAAATAGAGAGAGCTTTGAGCTCAGCCAATTTCATTCTCAGAATTCACTTGCTTTAATAAGAGACAGTACATCTGTATACTTGTATGCTACAATCTAATATATATCTATTAACTTTCTTATTATAGAGACATGAGATAAAACACCAATTAGAAATTTAGGAAGTTCCAAATTGTGGTATGTGGTGAATTTTGCTGGTCTTACAGGGAATATCATGGAACCAGGAGAGTTTTGTGAACCTATTGATGTATAGGTCAACATCTATGCCATATTTTTGTGTAAGAAAAATGGTTTGCAGCAGCATAGACATGGTACATCCTACTTAGAATGCAGTACCTATAGGTGGGTGCAGGAAAGTCTAAGATATAATTGTGACCTTTTAAAATATTACAGCCATGGCATTTCTGAATATATGGGCAATTTCCTCCTGTAAAACTTTAAACTTCTTTTTATAAAACACTATTGATATACAGAGATAATATATAATTTTTTTCAAAATTTATTTTCCTTTTCCTTTGCTTTTAGAAGGAATAAAAGTTTGCTCATGTTTCTCTTAATACTTGTTCCCAGTAGGTAAGTCAATCTAAACATAAAAAGCTGTTGGAATTGTAAGGAAGTGCTTTCAGTCATAGAATAGATTTCGAGTGTGTGAGGGAAACTGGGACAACTGAATAGCAGAGCGATTCCCTGAGCTGGTGTGAGTGGAGAACAGAGGACAATAGAAAGAGAAGGTAGCTTCTCTCCTCCCTGAGATAGGAACACTCTCTCTGTCTAGCATCCCTGAACTACTCTTGAAATCTGCTAACACTTGGTATCTGATCAGTTCCTCATCCTCCACTAACTTCAGATAGTGGGTGATCACACTGGTCTGAACCAAAGCTGGAATCCTTGAGCTGTTTTCCAAGATCCTTCACTGTACTTGTGTTGTCTCTTAGTCATATACACCCAGGGACCTCCATCCCCTCTTTGGTTATAAAATCCCTTTGACCCATGAAAACCTGCTGCAGATCCTCCTCCTCAGGGCAAGACACCCTGGTCCTTACAGTGGTCCTTACACCCTGAATTGTGTCCTGATTAAATGAAATCTTCCTCACCATTCTCAAATGCAATGATTATTTTTAAAAAAGATTACAAGGATTTGACAATAGACTCCATTGATCAACCCACTACATTTTCCTGACATTCTGTCATTGTCTGAGAAAAAACACTCTAGAGTAATTACTAGAATGAAAGCTCATGACATAAACACATCAATAAGGACAACAGCTAACACAGTTTGGAAATTATATAAAGCAAAACACACCTGCCATGTATAATATCCCATGCCTGTACTGTAGGCTTTCTGGAGACCTGGGTAGAGGGAAAGCTTAAGCTCAGGATATTACTAGTACCCTAGGTAATATAAGAAAACCTTGTCTCAAAATCCATGACATCCTGGGGGAAAGTGTCCAGGAATAAAAGTATAAGCAGGTATCTGGACATGACAATACATATGAGAATGATACAGACACCATCTACGAAAGCAAGAGGCCATTATTTCTTACCCTGCCGTCCCTGCTCCCAATGACAAGAGCATTAATGGCTTCAGCATCTGATCAAACCCAATCAGTCACTGTAACAGACATACCCCTGTTTGACACAGGGGCACGATTAATGTGCTAGAGTCCTCTGACACTGTGCAAAATCCATTGATTAATTATACATTTGGCTACATTTGGCTACAGAACTGATGTAATAGTATCTGAGAACAGAGAGTATCCCTGTGTCCTTGTGATGAAGAATCAGTCTGGAGCTGAAAATCTCACAGATGAATTCTTCCCTATTCCTGCCCTGGCTTGCAGGTCCAGGAGTCATGGAGGACACAGTGCATAAAGTCATGACATGCACATTATTGGAAAGTAACTGAATTTCTACAGCACAAGTTTTCCCTAGCAGGAGGATTATGAATAGCAGTGGACACTGTATAGGGATAAAAGAAATGTTATGCATCATTAAAAAAAATTAGATGGCCCAGCATTGTATCCAGGGCATATTTAGTAGTGACTGCTTAGCCCTGAATTCAACACAATGTCTCAGACTGTGATTCTAAGGAACTTCAGTCAATGTGCCATGCGGGGGCAGCTCAGTTGGGAGGAGGGGCATGGATAGAATAAGGCAGAGGCTGATGTATCCCTTAGGTTCTCACCCTGAAAATAAGAGGCTAAGAAAAGAAGAATTTATCTCCCCAGGTCCAAAAGGTGGGAAAAATTAGACAGAAATACAAATGAATTCATGAACAGTATTTTACATCTACATTTGGGAAAGACAGGGCAGCCACAGAATTAATGTGGATGTGATCACCCACAGATGTTTAGACCTTATTCTTTCTGATAAGCAAAGAGAAAGCAAATTCATGAAAAAGACACTTACAGTTGCATAAAGGCATCCTTCATAGGCTCTAGATAAAAGATACCATTGTAATATAAATAAATGAAAAGGGAGAAGAGTCCCCCAATCACCACGTCTCCATCCTTGTACACACTGGTGTTCCTTCTACGCAGGCAGGGTTCATTTTCAAAATTACACACTAGTAGAGAATGCTGCAAGAGAAAGAATGCAATGATCAACAGGAACATCTTAGAGAATGTCTGCAAAGCCTTCTGAGTGAAGAGGAACCTTGCTGTGTCAGCCACATAACACATATATTATGCATGTATCTGTGTGTGTGTGTTGGGTGTGTGTGTGTGTGTTATTGTTTTTGATTTGGGTGGACACTCTTATGCCCCTGACACTTTTCAGCAAAGTCTCCCAGAGGACCCGGGAGGAATTTGCCACCATTTGCCTCCTGGGTTCTGCATCTGAGGTTTGGTGTGCAGGTGAAAAACAGAAGTTGGAAAGTATATTTGAGTATCATTCTCTTCACCTAGAAGCACTATGACTCATCCAAGTCCACTGACAGCAACATCCCGGTTGCCACTTTCTCCTGGGCAGATTTGCTTCTCAGCCTGTGTCAATAAACCATTTGGGATGTGGCCTATGGATTGCACTAGAGGTTGAATGCTAGTTGTTCATTGAAATGGTCTGAGATGGCCTAGGCCCAGCCAAAAGCATCTGTGTACTATGAGATCCTGACTACAAGACAAGGAGTTTCAGCCTCATACACCTGGGTTTATTGCATCCACCCATCACTTTCTGTATGGCCAATGCTTGTTGGCATAACAGTCACTTGTGCTGAACTCATGTCCACTTATTTCTCCATTTTGTGGGATGGAATAATTACACTGAATGCAGAATACTGAATCCCTAACTCTCAAGATCTATGCAGAAATAACTTTTACTTTTTATGTTTTATTAATACAGGTTTCCAGTACATGCACTTTATAGTCATATTTGGGGAGTCAACATGTACATAATGCAGCTTAGCTTGATTCTTTTTTTAATCCCCTCCCTCCCTCCTCTTCTGAATCCTCTTCCCCTTTTCATCATTGCTGATATTATTAATATTATCTTATGTTTATGACACATAACATTTACATTCACTGAGGTCATTAGGTTCCTGTATGATATGATATATGTCTTTGTTCTGCTTCTTTCCCCTTTCCTTCCCACTATCCTCTCTCCCTCTACCTTTAGGACTTCCTACTTGAAAGAGATCTATTCCATGGTCTCCTTCTATCCATCCTTTGTTGTGCACTTTGTACTTTTCCTTCCTTAAGTGAGAGATACTTTATGGCAGTGGTGGGGAACCTATCTCATGTTTGCCAGAGTGGGCAGTTTGTTATCATTGAAAGCTCTAAGAGGTTTGCCATCACTGCTTTATGGTATTTAAGATTGTGTGTCTGATTTACTTCATTCACCATTATATTTTTCAGTTGCATCCATTTTCCTATAAATGTCTCAAATTTTTCCTTCTTTATAGCTGAGTAGTTTTCCATTATTCACAGATATAATATTTTCTTTATCCAGTCCTCTTAGACAGTATACTAAAGGCTGCTTTTAGGCTTTAGCTATTATTAATTGTGATGCTCAAACATTTGCATATATTTATCACTGTAGTATGATGTTGATAGATCTTTTGGTAAGATACCTTGCAGAGGCCATATGGAATTTTTAATGTTTTTTTTGAAAAGTCTCTATACTGATTTCCAAAAAGATTTCACTTGTTTACAGTTCCACCAACACTGTAGGAGGGCCCCTTTTTTAGCACAGCTGCACTAGCATTTGTAACATTTGACTTTTTGATGATTCTCATTGTTTCTAGAATAAGATGGATCTTAGCATTATTTTAATTGGAATTTTCTAATCGGCCAAGATGTTGAATACTTTTTTTCACATACTTGTTGGCGACTTGGACTTATTCTGCTCAGAAGAGTCTGCTCATTTCTCTTGACCCTTTCTTGACTGTGTCTTTCATTTTAGGTAGTCTAGTTTTGTTGAGTTCTTATATATTCTAGATGTGATCTTATGCCTGAAGAATAGCTGGAAAAAATGTTTTCCCATTCTGTAAGTGGTCTCTTCACTCTACTAATTGATTTGTCTGCTGTGCAGAAACTTTTCAATTGAATGTAATTCCATTTATTGATTCTCACTGTTACTTCTTCTGCAATTGCAATTCTGTTTAAGAAATCCTTTCCTACAACTATGACTTCAAGAGTTTTGCTTATTTATCTTCCAGTAGGTTCAATGTTTCTGTTTTAATGTTGAGATTTTTGATTCATTCTAATTTTAATTTACTACATGGTGAGAGATATTTCAGTCTTCTGTAAATAGACATCCAGTTTTCCCTGCAGCATATATTCAATAGGCTCTCTTACTCCAACTATATGCTTTTAACCCCTTTGTAAATGATCAAATAGGTAAATGAGTCTGGGGTATTTCTGTATCCTCTGTTCTACTCCATTGATTCACCTGTTTCTGTTCTAGAACCATGCCATTCTCATCACTATTTCTTTGTAGTATACCTTGAAGTCAAGTAATGTTATGCCTCTTGGTTTGCTCTTGTTTCCCCAAATTTTTTTGATAATCCACATCTCTTCCAGTTCCAGATAAGTTTTAGACTTGATTTATGTAGTTATGTAATGTATGCTGTTAGTATTTTGATTGGGTTTGAGTTGAATCTGTATAAAACTTTTGGGAGTGTGGCCATTTTGTCTCTATTTGTTCTGCCTATCCAGGAGCAGGGGGCATCTTTCTATGAACATCTTTCTGATGTTCTCTTCAATCTCCTTTTCAGAGTTTTGCAGTTTTCTTTGTAGAACACTTTCACTTCCTTGGTTAGGTTAGGTGAAGTTCCATTTTTCTTGGCTGACTGAATGGTGTTGCTTTCATAATTTCCTTCTCACTGAGTTCATTATTGGTATACACAAGTGCTACTGAATTTTGTGTTGATTTAGTATCCTGCTGCGTTGCTGAAGTTGCCTATTAATTCTGTGTTTTTTGGTGGAATTCATTGGATCTTCTAAATAGCATTTTATGTAATCTGAATATAATCATAATTTGAGTTTTTCCTTTTTTAATGTATGTGTTTTACTTCTTTCTCTTGCTTGATTACTATGGCTAATATTTTGAGTACTGTGTTGGACAGAAGTGCCAATAGTAAGTATCCTTGACTTATTACTGAGTTTAGGTTACAGTTAAAATGCTTTCAGTTTTTGTCCATTTAGTATATTGTAGATTTTTGGTTTGTGATAAGTAGCTAGCTGTTAGCAAACCCATTCTTGTATGCCTATGTTCTTCAAGGTTCTTATTTTGAAAGGGTGTTAGATTTTGTCAGAGTCTTTTTTTCATATATTGATATGATTCTGTGGTTTTTGACTTTGCTTCTGTCTATGTGATATATGGGATTTATTTATTTGTGTATGTTGAACCATTCTTGCATTTCTGGGATAAAACTTACTGGTTTTCTTGCTTTTTTTTTTTTTTTGGTCCTGGGGATTGGACTCGGGACCTTGCATTTGCGAGGCAGGCAGCAGAACCGCTGAGCTAAATCCTTGGCCCACCTACTGGTTGTATATATGATCTTCTGAGTATGTGCTGTGTTCTTTTCACTAATGTCTTGCTTATGATTTTAAATCTATGTTCATTAAGGAGATTAGTCTGTAATTTTCTTTTCTAGTTGACTTTTTATGTTGTTTTGGAATCAGTGTGATGTAGGCTTCCATAAATGAATGTCAAAGCTCTCCACCCATTATAATTTCTTGGAATAGCTTGTGAGTATAAGAGATACAACATCCTTTCAGCAGTGACTCCATCAGTTCCTGGGCTATTTTTAATTTATAGATTCTTTATTACTATCTCAATTTCATTGCTTGTTATTAGGTTGTTCAGGATTTTTGTGTCCTCTTGTTTTATCTTAGATAATTTGTAAGAGTCTAAGTATTTGTCCATTTCTTATGCTATCATAATGCAGGGGGTATCATTTTAATGTAATCTGTACAAATGTTCCAAATATTAAAAATCTCCAAAATATGAAAATATTTCAGGTCCTAACCATCATGGGTAAGGACTGCACAATCTATAAAATGTTACATGTTTTTAACTAAAATACCATTTTTTACATTACTCCGTGACTTTACACAACATAAGCCTCTTCTCTGAGGCTTGGTCAGAATTACAGACCGTTTGTATCATGCCTACTAACATGCCCATGGTAATCCCATGAAGAAAAAAAAGCAACCACTCTTATGTCCACTCTAAACTGTGTGGGCCCTGTTTGACTTTGTTGTGGAAATGTCTTTTTGGGTTTTTTTTTTCTGCAGAAACATCAGATCCCACTATCTTAGTGTCATTTAAAAATAGCTTATAGGGTCATTACTTCTACATAGACCTCAGGCCTCATGATGGGTCACAAATGAAGTAGTTGACTCAATTCAACAATTTCATTAAACACATTTACCAAGACCTAATATGTATGGGGCTCTATTCTGGGTATGGGGTCTGCTTCTCTGACATATAATGAGGTTAACCTGCAAAGTATCCATCCATGGGTGATGCTTACTGGGGGACAGTGCAGGTGACAGAGAGTCAATTTCATCATCGTGCATTACTTTTCAGTCTCTGATTATTGAGATCATGACAAGGCCTTGACAGAAGTCCTGCATTTCCTCTGGGAAAGCCATCATCATCCTTCTCTAACCTTGCCTGAGACCATAAAAGATTCTTAACTTAAGCAAATAAGTGTAAATGCATCCCCAGTCTCCTCTCCCTTAGCAGGCAAACAAGTTGCTAAGGTACAGGAAGAACAATTCTAATAATAATTGTTCTATTAGAAAACAGAGCTCAACCAGACTTGTGAAGCCATTGTTAATTTCTTTCCTATTTTTGATCACCCTGCCATGTTAGCCATCTACCTTTTAAAAAAGTATTGCCTAAATAATGATGTCAGTGAGAAAGCAAACTTTTCAAGCTATGTCTTGCATAATCATTTGATATTGAGACACATCACACACACATTATTTTGAATGCTCTCATGATATAGTGAGGCCAATTTTACAGCCGAGGAAACAGACTCAGACAGGTTAAGGTAATGACAATATCAGAGGGGAAAGAAAACTTTAATTTTAGTGTCCTTTCTGCCTTCCCCCGTCACTCAGTTCAGAAT